CGGCTACTCCAAGGGCTACTGCTGCTGGGGCGGCTGCTCCAGGGGCTGCTGCTGCTGGGGCGGCTGCTCCAGGGGCTGCTGCTGGGGCAGCTGCTCCAGGGGCTGCTGCTGCTGAGGCGGCTGCTCTAGGGGCTGCTGCTGCTGGGGTGGCTACTCCAGGGGCTGCTGCTGCTGGGGCGGCTGCTCCAGGGGCTGCTGCTGCTGGGGCGGCTGCTCCACGGGCTGCTGCTGCTGGGGCGGCTACTCCAGGGGCGGCTGCTGCTAGGGCGGCTGCTCCAGGGGCTGCTGCTGCTGGGGCGGCTGCTCCAGGGGCTGGTGCTGCTGGGGCGGCTGCTCCAGGGGCTGCTGCTGCTGGGGCGGCTACTCCAGGGGCTGCTGCTGCTGGGGCGGCTGCTCCAGGGGCTGCTGCTACTGGGGCGGCTGCTGCTGATCGGGCGGCTGCTCCAGGGGCTGCTGCTGCTGGGGCGGCTGCTGCTGCTGCTAGGGCGGCTGCTCCAGGGGCTGCTGTTGCGGCAGAAATTAGGAGGGAGGGGAGGGGAAGGGCGCGGCCCCCAGGGCGCCCTGACGGGCGACGTGGTAGGGAGCCGCGCAGGCCCCCGAAAGTGCCCTGACGGGCGACGGGAGGGGACCGCGCGCAGGCCCCTAAGGCGCCGCGACAAGGCAACAGGAGGGGCCGGCTCGCGGGCCCCGAAAGTGCCGCGACGAGGCGATGGGAGGGGCCTGCGTGCGAGCCCCCAAAACGCCGCGACGAGGCGACGGGCGAGGCCAGTGCGCGGGCCCCCAAGACGCCGCGACGAGGTAGGAACCCGCCGCGCGCCTCGGGGTGCACGACGGGCAGAAAACCGCCACGCGTTCCGAGCGCGTGGCGGGAAGAAAAATAGGATGTCGCGCGCCACGGGGCGCGCGACACACGGTAGGGCAGCGGAAACAAGTGGGCCCACAGGCCAGGAACGTTAAGCTCTGATAGCATGTTGAGAATTAGAACGAGTTTGGCTTAGGAGCCATAATAGTTTAGAAGTGAGTTTGGTGATCGAGTTGTAGGGTGTGAGGAAAATGTCGAGAGATTTTAGAAGGAGAATGTGTGGAAACTAGAAAGGAGGGGGATACAAGTAGTAAGCCCTGAAAGGGTTATACTCACTTTTGAGTACCCCACTATAGACTAGACATGCATTATAATCTGACACCACTGATGTCGCCGCGCATCAGCTGATGCACGCATGATGCGATTTTTTGAAGTTGCATAATGCGCTCATCAGTGATGCACCCGATTTCTAGGAGAGGAAGCTTCTGGGAACGCAGTCACATTACAAATTTCAAAAGCCAAAAAGGCAGTTCTGTAGGCATTTGGGTGTGTTCTGCTTTGGCAGCCATGCGCTTATCGCAAGCCTTGATCACATGTCGGCAGGTTATCATAGTAGGATCCTGGAACCATGGTAGAATGCATCAATGTATATTGATGAGGGTTGATGTACTTGCAGAACGCAGCCTGTCAGAAACTAGACGAAGAGATGAATGCATTTAGTAGGAAGTTGGTACAAGTATTAACCCTAATTGGGTTGTACCCTTTATGGGCTACCCCACTATAGCCTACACAACACACACAACATAATAGTTTTGCACAACCATCATGCGACTTCGAAAAATCGCATCATGCGCGCATCAGCTGATGCGCTGCAATCTCGTTGTCCAATCAGTTTGGCACCTCATAAATTCAATGTCAGGAAATTGAAACCTATAACATTTTTTTTTTTGTTGGAATTCAATGTCAGGAAATTGAATGTCCCAATCACGAACCTCAATGTCACGAATGTCCTCATCAGCTCGAGCCTCAGGCGCATCGGGCTAATGCGCCTGCAGAATGCAGACGATGTCATACTCATGATGTGCCCAATCCCAGCCCGCACATTTGGGCCTTGTTCGTCTGGCATTATTTCGAGCCAACCAGCCATCCTGGAACCTTCTGGGATAAGCACAAAACATCGGCCCTCTTCGATAGGCTAACACCGACGCTCGCGGAATCGTCGCAGTTGTTTCGATTTAGGGTTTTTTTTCCATGGTCAGCCCAGAAATTGGTGCCGAAGGGATTTAACACTTTGGAACCAGAATGCAGGGTGTTAGCCTGTCAAATGCATCCCTTACAAGAAGAGTTCGCCCCCCTAGAAAGATCCAGGGACCTCTTCGCACGGGCAATGGTTGAGTCCGCGTCTAGCCTAACCCTCGCGCCAAAATATTTCAAATTGTTGGAGTAGGTTTCTGGACAGAAAAGTCTCTTTCACAAGAACATCGCTGACGAACAACGCAGTGTTGGAACTTTACCTAAATCGGTTGTACCTATGGATAGCGGCTATCGTTCACAATTTGGATCGTATAAATAGGTGACATATTATTCTAGACATAGATTTTGGCATATTGGGGGGTATTCTAGAGATGATACTTAACTCAAACTCAATAATCATCCAAGAACCACACACGGAATTTGAGTAGCAAGATATCAGGTGGGAGCTGAAGATGAGGATGAGAGGGAAGGTTCCTAGGGATTCCACAACCAAGGAACCCTATAAGCACACAAAATCCGCTCCCTATAGGAACCCAACTTTCAATCTTGTCATTTACCCAACCCATGACATCCACCTCTAGCAAGTTGGCCACACTTGGCAACCTGGTTTGGTTTCTCCCAGCCACTTGGCAGCAACTATGCCAAGCATGGATGGTAGAAAGATAAGCTGGGAGGCAGACAGATGTGAATGCAAATGATGGCATCACGCAACACCATTGCGCAATGGGAAGGGCGCACCGTCCATATTATTCACAGAGATACTGGTAAAAGTGTTGGAGTGCATGAGTTGAATCCTGTTTATTAAGTCTTCCAAGACGCCGAGGTCGGAGAGAGCTTGGAATAAGAAGGGCCGGTCGAGCAGGACATAGGCCTTACAAAAGTCCACCGTCAAGGCGAGGAGCGGAGTGTGTGTGAGTAGGCCAGTCCATAACGTTTAGCGTATCATTTATCATGTCGCCTGTCTTTTGGTGTTTGATGAATGTCGTGTCAGAAGGATGTATAACGTGAGGAAGGAGATGTTAGAGACGGTTTGAGAAGGCTGTATAACGTGATGAAGGAGATGTTGGAGACGATAAGCCAAGGAAAGAGCTAATATATTGTAATTCGCATTCATGAGGGTGATGGGGCAGAGATTATCTACTAGGGAGGCATCGCCCTTCTTGTGGATGGGCACCGTTTGACCAGAGAGCATAGAGGGGGGGCAAGGACGGGGGCAGGGAGGGCGGGGCCAGGAGGGTCAGGAAGGCTGGAGCAAAGCGTGGTTTGTAAAGCCGGAAGAGTTTTCCAAGGAGTCCATTTGAACCTAGGGTCTTCCCGCGTGAGAGCAGACTCAGGGCTTTGCCAATTTTGAGTAAGGAAAATGGGGCTGCGTGTGCGGAGGTGAGGGCTTGGAGGATGGGGGGGGGGGGGGGGGAGGGGAGAGGAGTGAGGGATGTGTCGCCAAAATTCGGGAGGCGGATGCTTTGCCCATTGGGGGACGGTGATGGAGGAGATGAGGGACGCTTTAGTGTGGGAGTTAAATCCTATGAGCTGAGAGGAAATCCCCATCTCGCGGTGGATCTCAAACTTGAGCTTAGACTGGAGAGCAAGTTCGATGGTTTTGGCTGCAGTGCATCTCGCGAACTATTGCTGGGCCTTCACAGGCAAGTGGCTGACTCTGAATGTGAAGGGGTGACGTTAGATTGAAGTTGAGGTTGGTTTATGAGGTGATGGAGGTGCACAAGGGTTTTGTGTATACGTCATCTTTCGTGGTTGGAGAATATTTGAAGGCGCAGCTTAAGGGCTCGTTTCCATCCATCCCATTCTTCCGGAGATAGAGAAGGGGGCAGTGCGGTCATCCAAATTTTAGAGATGTGTGATTGGGAGAGGAGGAACGGGCGAATCCTCTATGGACGGGCGTTTGAGGGGAGCTTTAATGCTTAGGAGCACACTGGAGCGTAGGAGTGATCATATATAATGAAGGGGATGAGGAGGCAAGGGGAAGTTGCGAATTGGTTCTTAAAGGAGATAGAGATGTGCAGTGGGTTCAGTCCAGAGATGAGTGGTGGTGTTGCAGGTCGCAAATGGGGATATAACGGGTCGAGGTACAGTGCGTGGGGGGGCCGCATGTAGGGGGGTGGTGCGAGGACGACTTGAGTATGAAAAGACGGCGGCATTGGGGTGGAGTGCTTGGAATATATCAACGAGCGAGTGTTCATACTCCAATTTCTAAATAGCACATGCTTCACTTCGTTTATGACCATGCAAGGGGGCGGTTGCGATCAGAAGGGAGGATTACAGAGTTGAAGTCCCCAACAAGTAAGGTTGCAGACACAACTGATGGAGAGTCCAGCATCATTGAAAGGCAAGAGCGCCACCAAGGGCGTCTGTCCATGGTATGAGGCGTGGCGTATATAGCTATGAGGCTCATGAAGGAAATTGACATCGGCGGAAAGACGACGTTCATCGCTTGACGGTGCATGAGAGGCAAGAGATATGGAATTGTTAAAGACGAGAATAGAGATACCTCAAGGGGAGGGACGTGAGCCAAGTGAGCAGGTGTTACAGTAGCGAGCCATTGTGTCTGCAGAAGCATGAGGGCAAAAGCAGAGGTCTAGCCTTTTGACACTGTTGGTGAGGCGGGTATCAACAAGAACAGCAATATCAATAGGGGCGTTTAATTCGTTGATATTGATACATACTACTTGAGGTGTATTATCATGGTATATATGGCAGAGCACATCGCACACCAAGGTGAGCAAATCCACAGGCTGGTATATAAGTCAGGAATTGAATACACATATCAGTAACCCAATGGTGAGCGTGAAGTTGAGTGAAGTAGCAAGTTATGAATAGCACATCATTTTGGAATATTCGGCAGAGTTATTGCAACAACATGTCAACGATACAAGCACAGCAACATCCATGATCAAACGATCTACAGCTTGGCAAGAAACTTGACGATCTAGGGAAGAGCCATGAAGGCCGTGGCCTTCCATCCAGTGTACTTCTCCTTCGTAGCAGGGAGGTGGGCTGGCGAGAGCTTCTTGGAGGAGTGCAGCTTGGAGGCGATATGGGTCATGGTAGAATCCAGTGCAGCACTGCAGATCAGGTTGCACAAGGCACAAGTCCATGACTCAACATACGTGTCAAGGTTAATGTGAAGCAGTCCGGGGTCGTTGCCAAAAGCTACGAGTGCGGCACGGGAGCTGAGGACCTGGCCTAGAAGGAAGAGTGGGCAGACAACAAGGTAAGAAGAATGAGAAGGGTATGGGAAAGGTGAGAGAACGGAGAAAACAACTTGCGCGGTGCGGGGGCAGAGAATCTGGCCAAGGAGAATTCTAGGCAGAGGTTGGGAGAGGGGAGGCAGTGAGGGGAGAGGCTGAGTGGGGTTTGGGAGAAAAGTGCAGGCGCGACACGGGTGAAGGGAGCCAGGCCGGGATGAAGACAGGGCAAAAATTGGGGGTAACGGGCCAGGGAGGGCAGGGGTGGGGTGGACGTCAAGGGAAAACTGCAGGTGCAGCATGGGAGCCGAGGCCCTGTCCTAAGAGGGAGATGGGGCAGAGATTGGGGTAGGGAGGAATGGGAGGGGGCAGTCGGGATGTGGGTAAGGAGGGAGTTGCAGCCACAGCCTGTGAGCCTGGAGCCTGGCTTGAGAGGAAGAAAGGGGCGAAATCAGGGCAGGAAAGGAAGGGAAGATAGGGGCGTGGTGGAGGTGTGGGGGGCACTGCAAGAACAGCTCGGGAGCCAAAAACCTGGCATGGGAGGAGAGCTACGGTCGCGGCATGATAGCCAAGACCCTGGCCTGAGAGGCAGATATGGCGGAAGCTGGTGTAGGAAGGACAAGGGGGGTGTGGGCAGGGTGGGGGTAAGGGGAACGCAGCGGACATGACACAGGGGCAGGGAAGCAGGCTCGTGAGGAAGAAAAGGCAGAAAATAGGGAGGAAAAAGAAAAAAAGGAGGGTAGAGACGGGGTGGAGGTGAGGGGAAGGCTGCAGGTGTGGTGCGGGGGCCGAGGAACTGGCCTAGGAGAAGGATGGGGCATGGAACATGGTATGAAGGACAAGGAGGGTAGGGGTCGAGTGGGAGTTTGCCCAAATATGAAAGGGTGGTGGGATTACTATTTGCCTATTGCAGCTAGGCAACCGTGCATTGTTGCTTGTTGGTCTAGCTGCCTGCGCTTGGTGGGAAAAAGCTCGTGGTCGGCGACGCAGTGGTTGTTGCTATAGAATGAAATATTGAGATATTGAGCAGAGCTGAGGGGAAGTTATCCTCGAAACTGATGACCGCATGGATGCGGAGGTAGCTAGGGTCATCATGTGGGGAGAGTGGGATACAAGTGATTATGGGGAGGAACATGACCTCGTGTGGGTCCTTGACCTGGTGGAAAAACAGAAGATCAGCGAGCCAGGAGGGTTCCCCCTCAATGTCCTGGTGCATCAGAAAGTTGCTGATGTCCTCCAGGGTGTTAGCCCAGCGGGACATTGCGGAGGGTCAGGGTAGCAGCGCCTCCAGCCTTGGCAGCGGCAAAATGCGGGTTATGGTCCGCATAGACCTTCATGAGCACCGTATGGGAGTTGGCTGCCCTCCCCAACTCCCGTACGGTGCTCCTGAAGGTCTGTGCGGACCATAACCCACATTTCGCCGCTGCCAAAGCTGGAGGCGGTGCTACCCTGTTGGCGGCTTCCCTGCTAACGCCATCTTCGCTGGCTCCATCGAAGTCGAATGCACCGCCTCTGCGTGCTCCTTTGTCAGCGTCAACTTCACCTCCACGCCGACTTGCTGGACGTCACGTCAGCCACCGGCGATGCTCTTGGCCAGGGCCACAGGCGATGCCCCACTGCTCCCCTCATCGCTGGCGGCCGACACAGGAGTCAGCCCATGCAGGTCGGCTACGAGGGGAGGGGCAGGAGGGGCAAAGGAGGTGGAACAAAGGCGGACGCCCTCCGCGTCTGCATCAACAAGCTCACTGGCCTCGGCCAGCAGAGATGTTCGTCGGGGGGTGGACCTACGTCCGCCCGGACGCCGGCTGGTGCTCCGACTTCCACACCTCCAACGACATCGTCTCGTAGAACAACATGTCCGACGTGGTGGCCACCCTGTTGTCGGTAAGATCCGTGATCTCCCATCCCTTGCTCTCCTCCAACACACTGAGATGAAGGCCCCACCGGGCCTTCGGCTTCAGCTTTCCACTGCGCTGTTGCTCGGGGACCAGGAACTGCGCCATGCAACCCCACACCCATGCCAACGACAAGTTGGGTTTCTTCCTGGTCAACAGATGGTACGGCGTCATCCTCGGCGGCAGCACTGACTGCTCAAGGCAGTTGCGGACCCAGACGGCCTACCGCAGAGCGAGGTGCCACCAGTGGTGCTGCGCGCCTATGTGCAGCAGCATCGTCCATACTGACTCCACCACCGTCCTCATCTCCCACTCCGACATGCCGTTTTGCTACGGGGTGTAAGGGCAAGTCAGGTCGTAGACGACCCTCTTGCCTTCCACGAAGGCGGTGAAGTCCTTCACGAGGAACTCCCCTCCTCGGTCAGAATGCAGCATCAGCACCGACTTCTTCGTCTGCCGCTCAGCCACCATCAGCCACTGCACGAACTCCTGCAGCACGCCAACTTCTTGGTGACCGATCTCACACACACGTAGCTGGCCTTGCGGTCCTTCAGCAGGAAGAAGTATAGGCTGCCATCCTTGGCAGACACCCAAAATGACCCGCACAGGTCGATGTGCACGACAGCCAGCACAACGTCGACGATGGAGCCTTGGTCATGAAGGTGTGCCACGCCAGCTTCCCGCTGACGCACGAGACACATGGCGAGTCGGTGCCGGCTGACGGCTTGATGTCCAGGCCGGTGGTGACTTCGTGCTTCGCCGAGCTCGTGATGGTGTCGACGCCCACGTGCACAAGCCGTGCATGCCACCGCCCCGGCGTCAACATCGTCACCGAGACTATTGCTCGCAGTGCCACCACCTCTGGCGTGGGCGTCGTCGACTTCGTTGAGCAGGGACGCAGGTCGGTGCAGATGACACATCCGGTGTATGTCACCCGACCAGGCACCTCTCCCGCCGCCGAGACGAGCAACATCCCGTTGCCGTCTTCCTTCAACTTCACTCCATTCTCATTCAGCTGGTTCGCGTGCACGCCTAGGATATAAAGCATGTCGGGGATCAGCACCTGCTTCTCGACATCCCCTTGCAAGGCGACTGTGCGCCGGCCCTGGACGTCCTGCAGTGCCGCGTTGAAGCCAAGCACGTGCTTGACGTCGCTGCTTGGCTGCAGGTCGACGATGACCTCATTCGTCTCCATCAGGTGGTGCGAGCAGCCGCTGTCGAGGAGGACCACCACCGGGTTTGCCTGCACGGCTGCCGCCACAGCGTGGAAATCCTCGCCAGCTTATGGGGCCAACGAGACGGTTGGCTCCACGATGCCGACCAACGAGCACAACGCCTCCTTGTCATCTCGCCCTTTGCCGTCTGCAGAGAAGTCGGCGTCCTTCACCGAGGTCGACTTGTTCAACTAGGTCTCCTTGTGCGGCTTACTCTCCCGACAAAGACGACGCCCAGCCGACCTCCCCTGGTCTCCCTTGTTGTCGTCCTCGGAGTCACTGCGGTCGGGGCACTTGAAGGAGAGGTGGTCAGGGCTGTGGTACAACCAGCACTCTCGACGTCAACTTCCTCCTCCTCGACCACTATCCTTGGCCGACTTGTTCTTGTCAGCGCCATTCGCCAGCCTCCTGCCACCGCTTCCACCGCCGCCAGACTGCCCGCGCTGTCCCGGTCGACCACCTTGCTTCGCCGGGGCGGCGTAGTTTACCTGCGGCATGAGCTCCATGGACTGCTCGGCCTCCTGCATCGCCTCATCCCAGAGGATGTATGAGGTGAGGGAGTCCTCGTTGAGCGTCGCCCGCGCGCTCGGCACCACCGACAACAGCTTCATCAAGTTGTAGCTGCTTGGGAGTCCCTTCAGGACGTGGGTGATGTACGACACCGTCGAGTACTGCACGCCGGACATCCTCATGGTCGCCGAGCCCGGTTGCAGTAGTCAGTCGCAGTCTCCTGGTCGCCCATCCTGAGATGCATCATCTGCTCCTCGAGCTGGCTGATGTACAGTTCGTCGGTGACCTGGTATGTCGACTCGATGAAGTGCCACGCCTAGTGGCTGGCGTCCAGGTAGTCCCTATATGGCTTCAAGGCGATCTGCACGCCCGGCAAGCAACACCGCGGAATGGCCGTGAAGGTCAGCAGCTGCACAATGCGAAACTCCGCATGTAGGTCGGAGTAGTTCTCCGACGGCGTCCCCACAGTGCCGGCGGCAAAGCCCATCAGCCCAGCCATCTCCAGCTAGGGCTCGATGGCTTCCTTCCACGTGAAAATGCCGGGTCAACTGACCAGTAGGGGGGTGACAAAGATACTACCCGGCGTGAACTTGAAGTAGCCGTAGGTGCGGAGATAACTACTACAACGGGAGCTAGACTACTGGCTAGGCACGTGTGCTCGTGTGATCTCTGCGTTCGTTGGTCCTTAGACGTTTTCCTAGTGCTCACGGGGCAATTTGGCAAGAGTTTCACTAAGAAAAGATGTCAACAACAATACAATGAAGTTGGCAATGCAAGACTACATCAGAGCTAGCATTCAGGTTGGTCAACTGCCAGCACAGCATAGTCGACCGCGTTCCAACACGACTTGGTCGACCGCGCTCCAGCAGTGCAAAATCGAAAGCTTGCCAACGCTGCAGGTCGACGGTGTGCCAGCAGTGCACCCGCTTTGCAGATGCGTGCAGATGATTGGTATGCCGAGCCTCATCACCTGCACAGCACACACACCACGTCAGCCTCGAGCTGACGGCTGACTCTGATCCGCCACATCGACCTCGGGATACCACCACCGAGGTCGGTCTCGCCAACTTCGCCTCGGCGACCGTCGCACTCCTCCGCAGCACTTCGTCACCCAGGTAACCTGGTCGACCGGGCAACCTCATCGACCAGCAACTCCCGTACGTGTCCGTCGACCTCCCGAGTCGACGACCACCTCGATGTCGACCTCACCAGGTCGACCACGCCCCTCGGTCGACGATCGCGTCACTCGACGCCCGACTGCTCGACGACCGACTGCCTCTCAACGTCGGCCCCTCCTTCGTCGACCAGCGGGTCCAGTCGACCACCCGCAGGTCGACCAGAAGTCCATCAGCCGACCGTCGAAGTCGGCTCCCCAAGTCGACGGCCTCCGCAGGTCGACTCCTAAGTCGACCTCCCCGAGGTTGGCGCCACCCTGAAGTCGGCGCCCGTGCAGTGGTCACCGTGCAGGTCGACCTCCTCGTCGACCAGCTCGCCCACTGCTGCAGGTCGGCTGCTCCCCTAACATCCAACCATGATGTCGGCTCCGCCCAAACGTGGACGGGGCCAACACACAACTCCCGTTGACACTCCCCTGCCGCGTTCACGCTTGATTCCCCTCAAGTCCACTCGGCAGTACTCCTCGGAGAATAGCTCGTCGACGTGCCCCCCAACACACCGCACGTCGTCCACCGCACCAGCCATGCAAGAGGGCATGGCACCTACTGCTGCACGTCGTTATCGCTGTCGCCCGCGTCGACCAAGCGCACCTGGCCGATTGCGACGGAGCACCGGTTGAAGGCCGGATAGTGCAGCGCCTTCGTCAGGAAGTCGGCCGGCTGCTCAGTGGTCGGGATGTACCTCAGCGAGAACTTCCCGCGCTTCACCATGTGTTGCAGCCAGGCCTGTCGCCGCTCCATGTGCTTGAGGTTGCCCGTCAACCCCATGCCCTCGGCGACTGTGATGGCCGACTTGTTGTCCACCCGAAGGACGGTCGGCTTCCCGGCATCCAGCTGCCGGAACTCTGCAAGAAGGAAGCGAAGTCGGCGTCCTTCCTTGCCGGCTTCGGTGGCCGCCACGTACTCAGACTCAGTCGACGACAACATCGCGCACTTGATGCGCTGGCTCGACCAGGAGACTGCAGTCCCTCCATAGACGAACACGTAGCCACTCGTGCTCGTCCTGTTCTGCTTGTCACCGGCGTCGTCGGCATCCACATAGCCGATCAGCTCCAGCGACTCCGGTCCACCGCCGAACTCCAGGGCGGTGTCACGCGTATTGGCAAGGTAGGCGAGGCAGCGGTCGACCTCGCGCCAATGCTGGTCGCTCCTCACCATGAGGCCGCTCCCCAGCTTACTGCAGGCAAAGGCGATGTCCGGCCTCGTCGTCATCGCCGCGAACTGCAGCGAGCCGACCTTCTGCCGGTACTCCTCCTCCTGCCGTGCCTGTGCTTCCTCGTCGTCGAACGTGAGCTCGGCGTAGGCGTCGACCGAGACCGGCGTCTTCAGGGTGCGCTCGGTCTGCTTCTCGTCAATGAAGCGCCTACGCAGCTTGTCGGCGTAGCCCTGCTGGTGCAGCCACAGCTTCCCCGCCGACCTGTCGCGGATGATCTCCAGCCCGAGGTACTTCTGCACCGGCGAGATCTCACGCAGTTCGAAGGCGGCTTCCAGCAGCTCCTTCAACTCCTTCAACATCGCGGTGCTACTGCTGGCGGCGAGTAGGTCGTCGACGTAGACCAGCACCCAGCAGGCCACTCCGTCCTCTCCGACCTTGCAGTAGAGAGCCTCGTCGACCTGGCTCT